TCTACTCCAATTACTTTTGGCGCCGATACTCACTAACTTAACTTAAATACCTTTTTTGAGTAATTTGTACATGTCTGACAGAAATAATGAGGCTTATCGGATGGCGACAAGCCCGAAAAACATAACCACCCCGTCTATTTCGCTTTCAAGAAAGGAGATTATCTTTCTGAGGCCCTCAATGGAAGCTGAACGCTGACAGACTAGGCAAGGCGACAAGGTCACCGGCAGGGAGAGAGAGAGAGAAGTCTTGCAAAAGAGGAAAAACCATCGTTGGAGTTACAGCCATGGGCCGAACGGTCATCGTTGGATTGGGGGAGGGGAAGGGGATAAAAGGTGATAGAAGAAAAAAATTGTGAAAAGAGAGAGGGAGGTTGTTTCGCCAAAGCCGACAAGCGGGGCGCGAGGAGCCACAGAAAGTGGCTGGCTTTCCTTTTATTCCCCTTCGACCTCGCCTTTTGCAAAGCCTCCCCACCTGCTTTTGTGTCTTCGTGTGGCTGTCAGCGAGCGCGACAGCCGCTTTAAGCAAATCAAAAGGGTGAAGCGAAACGTGGGACCCAGCGTGACCTCTCTACGTAGGACGCGTCGGACAAAAACGTTTGGACGAAAATTTTTCACGTGACTTTCTCTCTCACGCTGATGGGATCTCTGGGGCTGTCGTTTTCGCCGTTTGCCTAGTTATAGAAACAAGCGGGCCATGTAGGTCCGGTTTTCGAACTGCTATTCAGTGTTCTGTTGCTTTCGTGCGCTGCAGACGCGACTGTGTTTTTTCGTCGTAAACGGTCGGAATACGTCCATGCCAATTTTTCGGTAACAGCCATTTTTTGCACCGGAGTTCGTGGAATACTTGTGATGTGTTTGTTGGACACGCTTCGACAAAAACTGCTCTTCGCCGACGACGAGACGTCAGTCCTCGAATCCTCGAATGTGTTTGTGGGGTGCCTGAGTTGGATTATGCATCTATCAAGGATTACAGGATATCGCTCTTTTGTTAGTAAGTGCACTGCAAGCATGATTCTGATAGTCGTCCTGCTTTCCTCTCAATCTCCGCGGTTTTTATGTGATGAGTTTTGCTTGGCATGAGGACAGTGTTAATTGTATTTTATAATTTGCTTTTCGTTTTACAGAGAAGTGTGACCTTTGTAAATATGTTGAGAATACACTGTGTGCAATGATTGTTGTTTAATAAACTTCTGGGAGCGATCGAAAAAAATTTGTTTCTCCGTATAAGTGATTGGATATGCAACAAATGACATGCAACGTACATATACTTGCACGACGTTCGGCCAATACGAAGCAGACGCATCGTACAGTTTTCGCACAATATTGCGCGAACGTTAGATCGGGGCGAAACAGCTGTACGGCAATACCCGCCGGGTATCAAACGGTGGTACAAAACTGGACAGTTGAGCGATATTGGAACCGACTTTCTGCCGGCACTGGCACGATACTGCAAAGTATTGCCGTGCTGCTTGGGAACGGAGGTGATCACATCTTACCATCGTGTTTCCAACGCTTGTTTAATTTATTTCTCTTCTGGGACGCGTGAAAGAGCACTTCTGTGACACACCAGAGATATTCGAAACTTGGGCTGGCCTCTCGGCTTTGTTTGCCACTTTTGGCACTTATTTGGCACTTCAGTGGGTAGCCAGAGAAAAGTCAAACTTCGGCATGCCCCGAATCGACAAATTAAGATTTACTGCGGCAGTTATGGCTCAAGTCTGGCACTTACTTTGGCGCTCCTCTGGCGGACCAGAGAAACGCCAAACCTTGGCACGTCCCAAATACCGAAATTAGGCGTTGCTCTGGCAGCTATGGCTGAAGTATGGCACCAACTTTGGCGCTCCTCTGGCGGACCCGAGAAAAGCCAAACTTTGGCACGTCCCAAATACCGAAATTAGGCGTTACTCTGGCAGCTATGGCTGAAGTTTGGCACCAACTTTGGCGCTCCTCTGGCGGACCAGAGAAACGCCAAACCTTGGCACGTCCCAAATACCGAAGTTAGGCGCTGCTCTGGCAGTTATGGCTCAAGTCTGGCACCAACTTTGGCGCTCCTCTGGCGGACCCGAGAAAAGCCAAACTTTGGCACGTCCCAAATACCGAAATTAGGCGTTACTCTGGCAGCTATGGCTGAAGTTTGGCACCAACTTTGGTGCTCCTCTGGCGGACCCGAGAAAAGCCAAACTTTGGCACGTCCCAAATACCGAAATTAGGCGTTGCTCTGGCAGCTATGGCTGAAGTTTGGCACCAACTTTGATGCTCCTCTGGCGCGGACCCGAGAAAAGCCAAACTTTGGCACGTCCCAAATACCGAAATTAGGCGTTACTCTGGCAGCTATGGCTGAAGTATGGCACCAACTTTGGCGCTCCTCTGGCGGACCAGAGAAACGCCAAACCTTGGCACGTCCCAAATACCGAAGTTAGGCGCTGCTCTGGCAGTTATGGCTCAAGTCTGGCACCAACTTTGGCGCTCCTCCGGCGGACCCGAGAAAAGCCAAACGTTGGCACGTCCCAAATACCGAAATTAGGCGTTACTCTGGCAGCTATGGCTGAAGTATGGCACCAACTTTGGCGCTCCTCTGGCGGACCAGAGAAACGCCAAACCTTGGCACGTCCCAAATACTGAAGTTAGGCGCTGCTCTGGCAGTTATGGCTCAAGTCTGGCACCAACTTTGGCGCTCCTCTGGCGGACCCGAGAAAAGCCAAACGTTGGCACGTCCCAAATACCGAAATTAGGCGTTACTCTGGCAGCTATGGCTGAAGTATAGCACCAACTTTGGCGCTCCTCTGGCGGACCAGAGAAACGCCAAACCTTGGCACGTCCCAAATACCGAAATTAGGCGTTGCTCTGGCAGTTATGGCTGAAGTATGGCACCAACTTTGGCGCTCCTCTGGCGGGCCAGAGAAACGCCAAACCTTGGCATGCCTCGCATTCCCAGATTAGGATTTACTATGGCAGTTATGGCTCAAGTATGGCACCAACTTTGGCACTCCTCTGGCGTACCAGAGAAGAGCCAAACTTTGGCATGCCCTAGGATCGCCCAACTAAGGCTATAGTTAGGCACCGTACTTTGGCACTGATGAGTGCCATGGTGCAAAAACCTAACTGCGCCAAAGTTGGGCCCTTATGTTTGCCAGACCTCTGCCCAAGTTGGGCATTCCTCTGGCGTGCTACCTGGGTAATTTTAATATATAATCGACAGCAGTTATGGAAATCGCGGTAAAGCATTACTAACCAGTTGCGTGCAATGCTGTGGTGACGTCAGTTGGTATGTTTGAATCTGATCCTTCCAAAATAAAGTAGAATTTGAAAAACAAAATCAGTTATGAGTTGGCCCTATTAAATATTAAAACTTGGATGAGACAACACCTGAAGTTACAACCGACTACTATTGAATTAATATCATAAACATCCGGGGAAAGGAATACTGACCCGTTGCGCCCATTGCATTGGTAACATCAGTTGCCACGGCTGAATCTGACTCTGTTGAAGAGAAAATAAAGTTGGTTAGAGTTGACAGAATAGGTAAGATGTCAACACTATTGAAACTTTAACAAGACCAAATTTCGGCACTATAATTTAATGCAATTGAAATAGCAAAAATCGAAGGAAACAAATAATGCACTCACCCGTGACGCTTATTGATGCAGTAACATTGATTAAAATGGTTAAATTTGACCTTGTGGCAGTGAAGGCAGTGTTTGAAGAAATATATACTGTATTAGCACTGTAGAAACGCTAATTAGTCGAAATCGGAAGCTTCAATTCACTTCCATTTATTGAACAGACCGATCTTTATAAAGTCTTTCTGACCCGTTGTATTCATATGTGCGGTAAGGTGAGTTGAAATGTTTGGACCTGACCCTGCTATAATAACGCAGAGTAAGCAAAATAGGTAAAATATGATTATAAAGCAATTAATTGCAAACGTGCAAGCATTTACTTTACTATTTGAAAATTGCTTTACATTGGAATTTACTCCCATTGAATTAATATCAAAAAACATTATAGAAATATAATTCACCCGCTGCGTGGACACCTCTATACAAACATTGGTTGAAATATTTGAATCCGACTCTGTAGCCATGAAACAGAGTGGGCAAACTAGGTAAAGTATTAGTGCTATTAAAGTTTCTTTAATCCGAAGCGACAGCTGACTACTTTTAATTGGATATAGCAAGCATCTCGAGAATAAACTAATGGACCGTTGAAATCACCGCTGTGGTAAGATCAGTTGGAGTTTTTTTTAATTGCGCTGCTATGAAGATGGAGTTAAACATATGTAAGGTATTAGCTCTGTTGAAGTTTTCATGAGACAGAATATGACGCTAAATTTGACTGCCATTAGCCGAAAATAAAAAAAGAAGTCTTTCCAGGATGAAATTACCAACCCGTTTTGTCCATGCTTGTCGCCCCATCAGATGGAATCATTGAATCGGACCCTGCTGCAATGAAGGTAGAGTATACAAAGTATGTCAAAAATTATCACCATTAACTTTGATAGAACATAATCTTCAACTCAATACACTGCCAATGAATCAATATGAAAATTATTTGCAACATTACTGAAACATTTTATTTATTTGTGTGGTAAAATTAACTTCAAAGTTAAAATCTGACTCGTTTTGGGATGAAGATAGGGCTGTCAAAATATATAGAATATGAATTATATTTAACAGTTCTAACAGCAAATTTAAAAAAAGGGGGAACGGTTATGATTTGATTGGTTTACAATGGTAACAACAAATACCATACGCTTTTAAAACCTGTATGAGACTAATACCAGCGCTACTACATAAGATAATTTAATAAAGGTACAATAGCTACTCGCAGCGTTGGTGGTTATGGTTTCAAGATATATAGCGGCTGAATCGGATCTTCTTAACCCACAATAGTAAGATTAATAATGTACCTTAGCGACAGCAGTTTTGAAAATCTGAATGTACAGTACCAAAACCTATACAACTTTTGTGACCTTTAAATGAAAGCTAAAAAGTACTTACATGATGCATTTATTGGTGTGGTGGCTTCAGTTCTAACGATTGATTGCCAACTCGGAGCTGAATGGGTGGTTTTGAGAAATTATGTAAAATGTTCATGCTATTGGAACTTTGACAAAGCATAATTTGCATATATAATGGACAAGAGTTGCGGAAATCGCGGTAAAGCGTTACTAACCTGTTGCGTTCCATGCTGTGGTAACGTCAGTTGGAATGTTTGAATCCGATCCTTCCAAAATAAAGTAGAATTTTAAAAACAAAATCAGTTATAAGTTGGCCCTATTAAAATTTGGATGAGACAACACCTGAAGCTACAGCCGACTACTAGTGAATTATATCGTAAACATCCGGGGAAAGGAATACTGACCTGTTGCGTCCAATGCTTTGGTAACCTCAGTTGGCATGGCTGAATCAGACACTGTTGAAGAAAATATAGAGTTGGTTGGGGAAGCAAAATAGGTAAGATGTCAACGCTATTGAAACTTTAACAGGACCAGCTTTTACGCTATAATTTAATACCATTGAAATACAAAATATTGTAGGAAACAATTAAGGTACTTACGTGTTGCGCTTATTGATGCAGTAACATTGAGTGTAACGGTTAAAGTTGACCCTGTTGCAGGGAAGGTAGAGTTTGAAAAATATATCCTATATTAGCACTATCGAAACGTTAATTAGACAAAATCTGTAGTTACAATTCACTTCCATTTATTGAACAGATCAATCCTCATAACGTCTTGTTGACCCGTTGTGTTCATTTGTGGGGTAAGGTCAGTTGAAATGTTTGGACCTGACCCTGCTATAATGAAGCAGAGTTCCCCAAATAAGTAAAATATTACTATAATGCAATTAGTTGCAAACGTGCAAGCTTTTTCTTTACTGCTATTTGAAAATTTCCTCAAGTTCGAATTTACCACCATTGAATGATTATTAAAAAGCATTATAGAAAAATAGAATTAATCCGCTGCGTTCACCTCTATACTAACATTGGTCGAAATATTTGAATCCGACTCTTGGCATGAAGCAGAGTGGGCAAACTAGGTAAAGTATTAGGTGTGTTAAAGCTTCTTTCATCGGACGCCACAGCTGACTACCTTCAAATGGATATAACAAGCATTTTGACAATAAATTAATGCACTGTTGAATTCACTGCTGTGGTATACGACCAGTTGGATTTTTTTTAAATTGCGCTGCTATGAAGATAGAGTTAAACGTATGTAAGATATTAGCTCTGTTGAAGTTTTGATGAGACAAAATAGGACACTAGAATTGACTGCGATTAATCGAAGATAAAAAAAGTCTCCCCAGGATGGAAAAACGGACCCGTTGCGTCCATTGCTGTCTCTTCATCAGATGGAATCATTGAATCGGACCCTGCTGCAGTGAAGGTAGAGTGTACAAGGTATGTCAAACATTAACACCATTAATTTTTTAGAACATAATCTTCAACTATAATAGACTACCAATAAATCAATATGAAAATGATTTGAAACATGACGGATCTATTTTGTTATTAGTGTGGTAATATTAATTTGAAAGTTGAAATCTGACCCGTTTTGGATGAAGGTACTGTTGTCAAATATATAAAATATTAATTATATTCTCCCAGTTCTGACACAAAAATTAAAAAAAACGGCGACGGTTATGACTTGATGCGTTCACTGTGGTAACATCAGATACCATGCGTTTTTAAACCTGTATGAGACCAGAGCTGGCCAAATTACTCATATGTTGTAATTAAATTACATTACTAATTTCCTGAAAATTGCTGAAATGTAATTAAACTACATTACAAATTACCACAGCCAGAAAGTAATTAATTACCATTACAAATTACTTTTAAAAGTAATGACATTACTTTCGCATTACTTTTGAATAATTTTAGATATACAGGAGCTATTGATAACTTCCTTTTACAGATAACTTCATTTACATTATTTACACAGTTCACGGCACACAGCTAGAACTCTCTGTTGCATGTTTACCGATGGACAGAGGAACGCACGCGACTGATCCGTTTCCCACCCCAACCCGGACAACTTTTTTTGGAGATGACTGAGGACTCAACGCGGATTTTCTCTGGGTGGGGGGAGAACAATTGTCATTGTTCGCAAAATCGCATCGAGCGCCGTTCCACCAGGGGCCTTAGTTCGACCTACTTCCCATCCTTCGTTTCCCGAGAATGTCGAGCAGAAAAGCTCGAATGGCAGGCACTTACCAGCCCTATTTCTCACAGTGGAAGATAACACAGAGAGGGTACGCAGCATGCATCAGAAAAAGTAAGCGGAAACTTTCAAGAGGGGCCAGAAAACGTCGAATGCAAAACCGCAAAACATAGGAAGAGAATCGCGCTGAGCGGGTTTTCACAGTTCAAGAGAGTGGCAGAAAATGTCTAGCTGATGGCGGGCGCGAGAGTCGCACCAGCCGCATGAGCATCAGCAACGTAGCGGCGGCCGAAGAGCGTTTTTTGGAAAGGTGTAGAGGAAAAAGAAAAAGTAAAATAAAAAGAAAAGCGCTCTTGTGTATTGTGGACACAAATATATGCCTGGTGCGAAAAAGTAATTATGGAATTTAATTACAATTACCGTCGCTGGAGTAATTCGTTACATTACTAAATTACCTGCTACAAAAAGTAATGAATTACATTACTAATTATTGGAACAAGTAATTAAATTACTGTAATTTCATTACAGTAATTACATTACTGCCAGCTCTGTATGAGACTAATACTACCGCTACGACATAAGATAATTGAATAAAGATAAGATAGCTACTCGCCGCGTTGGTGGTAATGGTTTCAAAATATATAGTGGCTGAATCGGATCCTCTTAACTCACAATAGTAAAATTAATAAAGTACCTTAGCTAAAGCAGTTTTGAAAATCTGAATATACAGTACCAAAGCATATAAAACTTTGGTGACCTTTAAACGAAAGCAAAAAATTACTAACATGGTGCATTTAATGGTGTGGTGGCTACAGTTCTAACGATTGATTGCCAATTCGGAGCTGAATGGGTGGTTTTGAGAAAATATGTAAACTGTTAATGCTATTTGAACTTTGACAAAGCCTTATTTTCATATATAATCGACAGCATTTGCGGAAATCGTGGGAAAGCATTACTAACCTGTTGCGTTCAATGCTGTGGTGACGTCAGTTGGAATGTTTGAATCCGGCCCTTCCAAAATAAAGTAGAATTTGAAAAATAACATCAGTTATAACTTGGCACGATTAAAATTTGGATGAGACAACACCTAAAGCTACAACCGACTACTAATTAATTAATATTGTAAACATCCGGGGAAAGGAATACCGACCCGTTGCGTTCAATGCTTTGGTAACATCAGTTGGCATGGCTGAGTGTGACTCTGTTGAAGAAAAGATAGAGTTCGTTAGAGTTAACAGAATAGGTAAGATGTCAACGCTGTTGCGACTTTAACAGGACCAAATTTTACGATATAATTTAATACCAGTGAAATACCAAAAATCGTAAAAAACAAATAATGTACTGGCTCGTTCCGCTTAATGATGCAGGAACATTGATTGAAAATGTTAAGTTTGACCCTGTTGCAGTGAATGTAGAGTTTGAAAAATATCTCCTGTATTAGCACTACGGAAATATTAATTAGTCAAAATATGAAGCTACACTTCACTTCCATTTATTGAACACATCAATCTTCATAAAGTCTTGATGACCCGTTATGTTCATTTGTGCGGTAAGGTCAGTTGAAATGTTTGGACCTGACCCTGCTATAATAAAGCTGAGTTGTCAAAATAGGTAAAATATTATTATAATGCAAGTAATTGCAAACGTGGGAGCTTTTACTTTACTGCTATTTAAAAATTGCCGCAAGTTAGAATTCACCACCATTGAATTGATATTTAAGAAAAAAAACTATAGGAAAAGATAATTCATCCGCTGCGTTCACCTCTATACTAACATTGGTTGAAATTATTGAATCCGACTCTGTTGCCATGAAGCAGAGTGGGCAAAGTAGGTAAAGTATTAGTGGTATCAAAGCTTCTTTAATCGGAAGCCACAGCTGACTACCTTTAAATGGATATAGCAAGTATTTTTACAATTAATGCGCCGTTGAATTCAGTGCTGTGGTAAGATCAGTTGGATTTTTTATTGAGCTGCTATGAAGATAGAGTTAAACATACGTAAGATAATAGCCCTTTTGAAATTTTGATGAGATAAAATAGGACTCTAGATTTGACTGCCATTACTCGCAAATAAAAAATGTCTTCCCAGGATGGAATTACTGACCCGTTGCGTTCATTGCTGTCGCGCCATCAGATGGAATCATTGAATCGGACCCTGCTGAAGTGAAGGTAGAGTATGTCAAACATTAACACCATTAACTTTGACAAAACATAATCTTCAACTACAATAGACTACCAATAAATCAATATGAAAATGGTTGGAAACATTACTGATCCACTTTATTTATTAGTGTGGTAAAATTAATTTAAAGTTTAAATCTGACTCGTTTTTGGATGAAGGTAGTGTTGTCAAAATATATAAAATATTAATTATATTCAACCAGGTCTGACACAAGATTTAAAAAATGGGGGCGGTTATGATTTGATGCGTTCACTGTGGTAACATCAGACACCACACGTTTTTAAAACCTGTATGAGACTAATACCAAAGCGTCGGCATAAGATAAGTGAATAAAGGTAAAATAGGTACTCATTGCGTTGGTGGTTATGCTTTCAAAATGTTAAGTGGCTGAATCGGATCCTCTTAACCCACAATAGTAAAATAATAAAGTACTCTAGCGATAGCGGTTTTGAACCTCTGAATATACAGTACGAAAGCATATATAACTTTGGTGACCTTTAAATGAAAGAGATAAATTACTTACATGGTGCATTTATTGGTGTGGTGGCCTCAGTTCCAACAATTGATTGCCAACTCGGAGCTGAATGGGTGGTTTGGAGAAAATATGTCAAATGTTCACGATATTGGAATTTGAGAAAATATAATTTTCATATATAATCGACAACAGTTTCGAAAATCGCGGGAAAGCATCACTAAGCAGTTGCATTCAATGCTGTGGTGACGTCAGTTGGAATGGTTCAATGTGATCCTTCCGAAATTTAAGTAGAATTTAAAAAAAAAACAATATCAGTTATAGGTTGGCCTATTAAAGCTTGGATGAGACAACACCTAAAGCTATAACCGACTAGTATTGAATTAATATCGTAAACATCCGGGAAAAGGAATACTGACCTGTTGCATCCATTGCTTTGGTAACATCAGTTGGCATGGCTGAATCTGATTCTGTTGAAAAGAAGATAGAGTTGTTTAGAGTTGACAGGATAGGTAAGTTGGCAATGCTATTGAACCTTTAACAGGTTAAAATTTAAGCTATAATTTAATACCGTTTAAATTCTAAAAATCTTAGGAAACAAATTATGCACTGACCCGTTGTGCTTATTGATGCAGTAACATTGATAAAAATGGTTAAATTGGACCCTGTCGCAGTGAAGGTAGAGTTTCAAAAATATATCCTTTATTAGCACTATGGAAACGCTAATCAGTCAAAATCTGAAGTTACAATTTACTTACATTTATTGAACAGATCAATCTTCATAAAGTCTTACTTACCTGTTGTGTTCATTTCTGCGGTAAGATCAGTTGAAATGTTGGGACCAATCCGTGCTATAATAAAGCAGAGTTGGCAAAATAGGTAAAAAATGATTATAATGCAAGCAAATGCAGACGTGCAAGCTTTTACTTTACGGCTATCTAAAAATTGCTGCAAGTTGGAATTCACCACCGTTGAATTAATATTTAAAAAAAAACATTATAGCAAAAGATAATTCACCTGCTGTGTTCACCTCTATACTAACATTGGTTGAAATTATTGAATCCGACTTTGTTGCCATGAAGCAGAGTGGGCAAACTAGGTAAAGTATTAGTGATATTAAGACTTCTTTAATTGGAAACCACAGCTGACTACCTTCAAATGAATATAGCAAGTAACCTTGAGAAAAAATAATGCACCATTGAATTCACTGCTCTGGTAAGATTAGTTGGATTTTCTTTAAATTGCGCTGCTATGAAGTTAGAGTTAGACATATGTAACATATTAGCCCTTTTGAAATTTTGACGAGACAAAATAGGAGGCTAGATTTGACTGCCATTAATCGAAAATAAAAAAAAAATGTTCCCAGGATGGAATTACTGACCGGTTGCATCCATTGCTGTCCCGCCATCAGATGGAATCATTGAATGGGACCCTGCTGTAGTGAAGGTAGAGTATACAAAGTATGTCAAACATTAACAGCATTAACTTTGACAAAACATAATCTTCAGCTATAATAGACTACCAATAAATCAATATGAAAATGTTTGGAAACATTACGGATCCACTTTATTTATTAGTGTGGGAAAATTAATTTAAAGTTGAAATCTGACTCGTTTTGGGATGAAGGTAGTGTTGTCAAAATATATAAAATATTAATTATATTCAGCCAGGTCTGACAGAAGACTTAAAAAAGGGAGCGGTTATGATTTGATGCGTTCACTGTGGTAACATCAAATACCATACGTTTTTAAAACCTGTATGAGACTAATACCACAGCGTCGGCATAAGATAATTGAATAAAGGTAAAATAGCTACTCATCGGGTTGGTGGTAATGCTTTCAAAATTTTAAGTGGCTGAATCGGATCCTCTTAACCCACAATATTAAAATAATAAAGTACCCTAGCGATAGCAGTTCTGAACCTCTGAATATACTGTACAAAAGCATATATAACTTTGGTGACCTTTAAATGAAAGAGATAAATTACTTACATGGTGCATTTATTGGTGTGGTGGCTTCAGTTCCAACAATTGATTGCCAACTCGGAGCTGAATGGGTGGTTTGGAGAAAATATGTCAAATTTTCACGCTATTGGAATTTGAGAAAGCATAATTTTCATATAAAATCGACAACAGTTTCGAAAATCGCGGGAAAGCATTACTAAGCAGTTGCATTCGGGTCTAGGAGAACTCGTCACAAGCCAACTCGTCGAGGCCAACTCGTCATAGGTAAACTCGCCAAATAGGGCAAGTCGTCATAGGGCATCTCGTATACGGGGAAGTCGTAACAGAGGGCAACTGGGCACTTGTCCATTTCGTCACAATTTACCTTTTTCGCCGATCTTGCGTTTGCAATTCGGCTTCGATAACTGACAAAAAATAATAATTTACAACTAAAAAATAAAAGCACGACATGGTCTTGTACAGATTTTTCTCAAAAGGAGCTTCTGCTACCATCTCGAAGAGTTTGTGCGTATGGCGCGTGCTTTGTTCGCTTTCCGAAGCAAGAAACACGCGCGTGCTGGGCTGTAAATATCGCACGCTGGGCCGTACCTGAGAATGGTATATCGTCGGGGACAAGTAAAGAACGCGCACGTTAGCTTCCGCCGTGCTTTGGTTGGGCGTGCGCGCTCGTGCTATCAAGGGAAGCAAACTCATTGGCCCATGACCTACTCTTACAGCCACTCTGAAACATGAAAATATTGGGTCTAGGAGAACTGATCACACGCGAACTCATCATAAGTAAACACATCAAGTAGGGCAAGTCGTCATGGAGCATCTGAGGGTGATGGCTTTGGCCTTTGCAATGCTTTCTATCTCTACAGACCCAGTACACAGCGTCGGGGTCTTTTCGGCTAAGCGTATAAAAGTACCCTTCGAACAGCATGGGAGCGTCACGCTGGGTTTTAATTCGGTTCATCATACGAATGCGGTCGTGCTCTCTGAAGGTCCGCACATTTCGCCCCTATATATATATACGTATTCGAAGCCACTTCGAACGAAAAACCCCTTTGGAGTTGATATAGAAAAAAAAGAAGACGCCCCCAAAGACGAAACCTAACTGCTACACTTAGTAGCATCTTGGTGCGGAGATCTGCATACCGCACCCCTGTTTTGTCATTGAACAATAATTTCCGACCTAGCAAAGCTTCCGAAAAGGGTTTAACAACAAAGGGACGTCGTAAGTAAAGTAAACACCGAAAAGCCGACCACAACCGTCCCCTGCAAACAAGCAAAAGGAGAAGTCAAGTTCGAAACTGCGACAAGTTTGATGCAACCACTTTCCAAAATAAACCCCCCTCTCCCGCCCCTTTCCCCCCCTCCCCCCCCCCCCCCCCATCAAAAAAGTCTGTGACGAACTTTCCAAGAACGAGAAGGTCACTGCGACCACTTCACCTACTACAAGTTCACCTAGAACGAGATGCCCTCCTTGACCAGTTCACCTATGACCAGTTTCCCTATGACGACTTGGCTGTGACGAGTGGGCCTGTTCCCGTTGCATTCAATGCTGTGGTGACGTCAGTTGGAATGTTTCAATGTGATCCTTCCGAAATTTAAGTAGAATTTGAAGAAAACATTATCAGTAATAGGTTGGCCTATTAAAGCTTGGATGAGACAACACCTGAAGCTATAACCGACTAGTATTGAATTAATATCGTAAACATCCGGGAAAGGAATACTGACCCGTTGCATCCATTGCTTTGGTAACATCAGTTGGAATGGCTGAATCTGATTCTGTTGAAGAGAAGATAGAGTTGGTTATAGTTTACAGGATAGGTAAGTTGGCAATGCTATTGAAACTTTAACAGGACAAAATTTAAGTTATAATTTAATACCATTTAAATACTAAAAATCGTAGGAAACAAAATATGCACTGACCCGTTGTGCTTATTGATGTGGTAACATTGATAAAAATGGTTAAATTGGACCCTGTCGCAGTGAAGGTAAAATTTCAAAAATATATCCTTTACTAGCACTACGGAAACGCTAATCAGTCAAAATCTGAAGCTACAATTTACTTACATTTATTGAACAGATCAATCTTCATAAAGTCTTACTTACCTGTTGTGTTCATTTCTGCGGTAAGATCAGTTGAAATGTTGGGACCGATCCGTGCTATAATAAAGCAGAGTTGGCGAAATAGGTAAAAAATGATTATAATGCAAGCAAATGCAGACGTGCAAGCTTTTACTTTACTGCTATCTAAAAATTGCCGCAAGTTAGAATTCACCACCATTAAATTAATATAAAAAACATTGTAGCAAAAGATAATTCACCTGCTGTGTTCACCTCTATACTAACATTGGTTGAAATTATTGAATCAGACTTTGTTGCCATGAAGCAGAGTGGGCAAACTAGGTAAAGTATTAGGTGTGTTAAGACTTCTTTAATCGGAAACCACAGCTGACTACCTTCAAATGGATATAGCAAGTATCTTGAGAATATATAATGCACCGTTGAATTCACGGCTGTGGTGAGATCGGTTGGTGTTTCTTTAAATTGCGCTGCTATGAAGATAGAGTTAGACACATGTAACATATTAGCCCTTTCGAAATTTTGATGAGGCAAAATAGGACGCTAGATTTGACTGCCATTAATCGAAAATAAAAAAAAGTTTTCCCTGGATGGAATTACTGACCCGTTGCGTTCATTGCTGTCGCGCCATCAGATGGAATCATTGAATCGGACCCTGCTGCAGTGAAGGTAGAGTATACGAAATATGTCAAACATTAACACCATTGACTTTGATAGAACATAATCTTCAACTACAATTGACTACCAATGAATTAATATGAAAATATATGAAACATTAATGACCCGTTTTATTTATTATTGTGGTAATATTAGTTTGAAAGTTGAAAACTGACCCGTTTTGGGATGAAGGTAGTGTCGTCAAAATATATAAACATTAATTATATTCAGCCAGTTCTGACATACAGTTTAAAAAAGGGGGTCGGTTATGATTTGATGCCTTCAGGGTGGTAACATCGGGTACCATACGCTTTTAAAACTTGTATGAGACTAATACCAATGCTTGGACATAAGATAATTGAATAAAGGTAAAATAGCTGCTCGTCGCGTTGGTGATTATAATTGCAAAATATTAAGTGGCTGAATCGGATCCTGTTAACCCACTATAGTAAAACTAATAAAGTACCCTAGCGATAGCAGTTTTGAACCTCTGAATATACAGTATTAAAGCATATACAACATTGGTGACTTTTAAATGAAAGGGAAAAATTACTTGGTGCAGTTATTGGTGTGGTGGCTTCAGTTCTAACGATTGATTGCCAACTCGGAGTTGGATGGGTGTTTTTTTTTTTGTTGAAAATATGTAAAATGTTAATGCCATTGGAACTTTGACAAAGCATTATTTTGATATATAATCGACAGCAGTTGTACGAATCGCGGGAAAGCATTACTAACCAGTTGTGTTCAATGCTGTCGTGACGTCAGTTGGAATGTTTTTATCTGATGCTTCCAAAATAAAGTAGAATTATAAAAACAAAATCAGTTATAAGTTGGCCCTATTAAAACTTGGATGAGACAACACCTGAAGCTATAACCGACTAACTATTGAATTAATATCGTAAAAATCCGTTGAAAGGAATGCTGACCCGTTGTTTCCATTGCTTTGGTAACATCAGTTGGCATGGCTGAATCTGACTCTGTTGAAGAGAAGATAGAGTTGGTTAGAGTTGACCGAATAGGTAAGATGTGAAGGCTATTGAAACTTTAACAGGACCAAATTTTACGCTATAATTTAATACCATTGAAATACTAGAAATCGTAGAAAACAAATTATGTACTG